TTCCGATGAGCGATATGTTCACCCTATAAAATATCGACCGTCATTTCACAAACACTTGTAATACCTCAAAAGTACAGTTCGGATCTGGAGAGCTGGACTCCATTTGTCTTTGAGAATATCAAGGCATATTCTTCCAAGCTGCAAGAAAACTCAACCTTGAGAGCCAAGAAACACATATTTTAAACCATAAATATGGACCAAAGATGGAACAGGTGGACCCAACCTTATCAATATTCGGATGATATCTTTGTAAGAAATCGAACCTGCTCACCATAATTGTTTAGGTTGATAAAAATCGAAAACATAAGGACAATGGCAGAAAAATCCCAAGAAAAGAGGCAAACAACAACTTGAGCTGAAATGCCAACTACTATCAGTTAACAATTCTATTCAATATACAACACTCATGAAGTGCTAAGAGATTTCAACAATTAAGTCCAACGGCCAGAAACAGGACAAAGAAGCCCAATCTCGGGAAACGACAATCAAAGCACAAAGCGGAGAAAAACAACAAGTCTCAACTCTCAACTATATCATCAGCCATACAGGGACCAATTAGGGAAGCAAGCAGAAATTAGATCATTAACATCAAGTGCAATTTGTTCAGCACAGCTTATCACACGCAAAAGCAACAGAAAAAAAATAGTTCTTCCCCAGTAGAAGTAAGACTTCAAAACCCAAAAATGCATCAGCTACCTAGGTAGAGGCTAAGAGGCTAAGGCAGTAATAATGTCACAGTAATGATTTTGGAAAGCCAATGCATAATGCATAGTATTAAACATTGAATACCAATCAACATTTTCCTTTAAATTAATGTCATTAAAGCATATTTGATATTTAATTCGGCCATACCAAAAGAGAGAACTACAATTACATTCTGCTGAAACTGACATTACAAGCCAACTACAATTACGGAGATTCGTACTATAGATAAATTTCTCCAACAAGTTGAAGAGCTGGGAGAATTTTCTATTAGTGATCAAAGAAGCTAAGAGATATGATTGCTCAAGGAAATTAGGCTTTTAATAGACAGATAGTAGGGTTATTAATATGAATTTTCAGTTCATTAGTAAAAAGGTCATAAATGTAGTGCCTATGAGGGAAAGAGAGAGCATCCAAAAATACACTGAATATCAATACAAATAAAATTCAGAGAGTGACGGAAACTAGATACAGTAATAGTACACTAAGTATCAATATTAATCAATTCAGGCTTTGCTTCAACTGAATAACAATTTAAAAATCCAAAGGTAACTATATTTTGTAATCACCAAGAAGACCGCGGAGAGTGAGAGAAACTAGATACAGTAGTAAAACATGCCAGAGAAAAATGTGCAACTAAGTGAAGATAGTTTCTAAATGCAAACATTTTCAGATGAGTTCATGATGAAGCCAAGTAATATTGGATATCAAAGGAACAACAACATCCAGCATATAGCAATGGATACAAACAAGGTTATGCTAAATATTAAGAACCGATGCAGAAAAGTTGAGTACTTTGGGAGCAGCCATGGGATATTCTTCTGGCAAAAATATTCCAACTTGAAAACTCCTCCTAAACAATAATTCCAAACAAGAAAATGCATCATATCCTTAATTGCAAAATTAATTACAGAAACAACAACAAAGGAAGCAATGAAATATCACCAAAACAACTTCCAAAAACCAGACTAAGCCTGTAAGACTGAACAAGCATGCTGATTGGAACTGATCATAATATCGAAAAAATGGGCCCAATACAAAGGATAGAAAACATGATGTGGGGGGGGGGGGGATGAAGTAAAAAAACACTGCGTAAGCATTTTCTCTTCAATTAAATCCTACTTAATGCGTATTGTGATGTTTTGATGACTGAAAATAGGCGGTGGTATCACTCTTAATGACTTAAATCAGCCATAACTATTGAGCAATCAACAGAAATTTGACATTTCTAAAACACAGCAAAACTATTCGAAACCATCTGATGAAAAGATCAACTACCTTCATACGGAGACTGAGTGGGCCAAGGATCATCACATTGAAATTCGCATATTATCCTCCGACGGCGAAGCACTAATTCCAGGTGCTGGAAGCAATAAAAATTAACAGGAAAAAGAAACCATAAAGTTAATTGTTTTCTTATAACATTTAAAATACTAAATAAAAGCACCATATTACACAAAATTTAACAAAAATTTATGGAAAAGAAAGCAAATATTTACCTGGTTCACTGAGGAGACGCTGAGTTTCCTGTTTAGATGAAAAGGTAAAAGAGACCAAAATTAAAGCATAAAATTAACCAACTTCACCAAAAAGAACTTTATTCAATGTAAGTATACGGCCGAAAATAACTAGACGAAGCTTTTAATTCATCAAGCATAAACAATTCAACTATAAACCGGAACTGTAGAACCCAGAAAAGGAAAAGAAAAAGAAAGAAATGTTGAAGATTTTCTGGAGGTTTTTCTTTAAACAAACCAATCGAAGAAATCAAGAAGGATCGAGTGAGATCGAAGAGGAACCTTAATGATTCTTCGAGGGAGATTACTATTGGCCATTGGCTAGGATCGATTGGTGAAGCAGAGGGAAAGCGGTTTCTGGGAATTTAGAGAGAAAATTGAGAATAAAGGTAAACGATAACGGACGCTTTAAGTCTTGCCAATTATTTTAGTGTTTTTCTGTTTTATATATACTATTTCTCCAAATTTGTATTTTGACCTGCTGTACTGTCTTTTGAAGTTAATATAATTAAGAAATAATATTAAAATTAAATCATTGAATTAAATATTAATATTCTAATGAATTACATGCACTTTTACTATAAAAAATTTTTTTACTTTAATTCAAAATTTTAATAAACGGTGAATATATTAAGTAGTCTAAATAATAAAAATATTATTTTTTAGAAGATTTAAATTTAATAGGTTATGTCTATGCATTATTAAAAATTTAAAATTATTTTGAACATATAATAACTTATAATTACTTTCATGATATTCAAAGGTTATGAATGTAAATTGATGATTAAATTATTTATTTTAATACATTTTTAGTTTTTTTGTTTCAATCAGAGACAAATCCTATGTATAATTTTTTATTAGTTATTATTTTAATAATAATATTTATCTTTAAATTTTATTTGTATACATTTTATTTAAAAATTTATATTATTAATATATATACGTGTTCATTTAGAATAATTTTAGATCCACGCTATACAGATCTCAACTCTCTATATGCCATGACGCGGCACGTACAGCCTGGCACGTGCTTGTTGTCAACTTGAAATATTGGTATTTAGAATGGTTTATGAAGCATATTTAACAAGGGTTCATATTTTATGACTCATATTTAACTTAAAATATTTTTGAATCTAGTCGAGTTTAAGAAATATGAGTTAAGTTGTTCGAGTTTAAGAAATATGAGTTAAGTTGTTCGAGTTTCTATACAAACTTAATTGTAATTATTTATAATACTATCGTACAAATTTATTTTGTTTTTTTAACTTTCTCTAACCATATAAGTTGTTTGTACATTTCTTCATATTCTTTTCATATTATAATATTATTTAATATATCACAAACAATCTAAAATTATAAAATATATTTATATTGTTATATTTTAAAGAAGGTATTTTGAGGATAAAAGATTGGCGAGAGTATAAAGTAGTTGAAGAATTGATGTGAAGAAAGAATTTGTAAACAATTGTAGTCAAAAGACTAAATTGGGTAAAATACAAAGTTAAAGGACTAAATTAAAAGAGACAGTACATTTTTAGAAGAAAAAAAATAAGAACATAAGTTACATAGATATTATACAGTGGTAGGGGAGCAAGTGGTTTAAATTTGGTTAAAAACATACTTAAAATGAATGATGAATTGAAGGAATACAAAAATCATACAAAAATGAAGGACTAAATTGAAAAAATAGAAATTTGTTATAAAAACTAGAATGTGAAGTATATATGTATTCTAAGATAGTTTAGGAACATGTGGTTCAAATTTGATAAAAATTTGACTTAAAATGGAGGAGGAATTAAATGAATAGGAAATCATGGATCAAATCATAAATTTATTAAAATACTCATCCAAATTTTTGATTTTTCGATTTACTCAAAATTTTGAAATTTCAACTCAACTCGAAAACCAAATTTATAACTTGAATTGACTTGAATAACTCGAGTAACTTGACTCAAATAAATCAAAATTGAAAAAAATTACAAATTTTCAAGTTGAGTTTTGTTTACCTTTATATCTAACCCCCTTTAAATATCGAAACATCTCCAAAAGACATTTGTAAATAAAAAAGAAAAAAACCCAAAATACAATTTTTTTATGTATGACTATAGTATAATTAAATCAATAAAAGTAGAATTTATTCGTTAATTTTATTGGTAAAAAGGAAAATTATTTTTTAGATGTTTTAAATTTGACCAGTAGAATTAGGAATATATATATACATTGTCAATAATTAATTTTTTAAAATAAATATTACATTATAATTATCGATGAATGTTGATAAAATTAAGATAATAGATTGATTGGTTTGCAAATCACTTTATTTAATCTATAAATATAATTTTTGTATAAGTTTTTATATATATATATAGGTTAGGGTGCTCATTTTTTTTTCTCTTATTTCATAATTACAATCATGTGTTCATTGGATAAAAATTTAGGGTGGAGAGTACAAATGGTCTCTTAACTAGAGGATATTGTTTTATTGAGTCTTTTGAGTATTAAAAGTTATAAAATAATTATTTTATTATAGGTTGTCGCTTTGTTAAGTCCCTTGATTATTATAAGTTACAAAATGATCACTCAACTATTCATATGTTCCAAACTTGTCATTTTCCGTTAAAAAATTGACGGTAGTCTGAGTTGTACGCTAGCTTACTGATTGAGATATGTTAAAATCTAATCCCAAACTTTCAAACAACTATCATATCTTAGACAACATGTTAACTTCCAGCTCAGATGACCATCAATTTTTTTTACCAAAAAAGAAAAAGTTTGGAATATATGAACAATCATAGATCATTTGTAATTTTTAATAGTCAAAAGACTCAACAAAGTAACGTCATATAATCAGAGAATCATTTCGTAACTTTTAATAGTCAGGAACCATTTGTGTGCTTTACCCAAAAATTTAAAGGAAAATATTATTTTTAGCATGAAAAATCCATATTATTAAGTTTTTTTTTTATATAATTAGTTGTTTTATTTGATAAATTCAAACAATTAAAGGAGGATGAAGGAGTCTTCCTTTCTCAACAAACCAAACCCTTAAAAATAGAAAATTTGAATAGCAACCATAGCCTAAACAAAGTGAATCCCTCCATATAAATTCATCATTTTGGTAAAGCATCGATAACCCAAATCCAATAAATAGAAAAAAAGAAATGGCGAAAGCTTATGTAATCGCCCTCTTTTTCTTTGCTGTTTATATTTCCTCCTCCCTAGCTTAGCAGGTAAGTTCAGTGTCGTAGGCCATGTTTACTGCGACACTTGCCGTGTTGAATTCGAGACCAAGCTCAGCCAACCCATAACTGGTACATAATCATTTTAAACACTTCTTTATATTTCAAATGCATGGAAATAATTAACATGAAAAAATTATGCAGGTGCAATTGTGAGGCTGGAATGCAGGAACCGTACCACCGGATCCTTTACCTATCGCAGCCTAGACACATTAACTGACGAAAAGGGAGACTACAAAATCGAAGTGGAGGGTGATTATGGTGATTCAGACTGCGACGTCATGCTGGTGAAGAGTCCCAGGGCAGATTGCAGTGATCCAACCGAAGAGTGGAGGAAAGCCAGGGTTGTCCTCACCACGCTCGACGGCATCAGCGGTGATATTCGCTTTACCAACAACCTTGGGTTCAAAATCAAGGAAGCTCTGCCTCAGTGTAAACAAGTTCTTACAGAGATGGGTTATTTTGAGCTTAGAGATGAACTTGGAAACGAAGCAACAAATCCCTAAACGCAAAATTATGTATTTTCGTTTCCACTTCTATTAAGACTTGTAATTTCTCCCCTCTAATAAGAACTTATTAATTATTATTATTACAATACATATGCACTATTTGTTCAATGTTCTATTAACAAGATACTATGAAGCTGATAAAAAAGAACTATGAAACCCCACCCTTTTTAGTCGTGTCAAGGTACTAACATTGACATGTAGCGGCATTTTTAACGGCGTTTTATTATAAAATGCTACTAATACTATAATTTTAGTGGCGTTTTTATATAAACACCGCGATAGACTATTAAAAGGTGGCGTTTTTGGAGAAATGCCGCTAAACGTCGTACATTAGTAGTGTTTTCATTACAAATGCCGCGATTGACTGATAAAAGGTGGCATTTTTTGAAAATGCCACAATAGTTTGGTACTTTAGTGGCGCACTTAAAATAAATGCTGTAAATTTTAATAAAATACCTAAATATCGATCATTCAACTCTCTTTTTGTTTCAAACAGATTTTCAATCCCTAACCCAACACAACCACCGTAGTGCAGCCACTAGCATAAGCTAATATCGTCGTCGTCGCACTCTTCCGGCCAACCACCTGCAGGTATGTCTTTCTTCTTCACCGCACCCTACTTTTTTTATATAACGATCGGCCAAACGAAAGTTGGGCATTTTCTTTTGGGCTTTTCTCTGTTTTCCATAAGCAAGATTTGTCTCTCGGTTTTCCATATGCAAAGGAAACTTTGGCTGCATGCTGCGGGAGGAGTAATCTTACCTTTGCCCAAAGTTTGCTTTGTCATTTGGTTGCTTCTGCATTTTGGAACAAGGGAGACTGCAACCCAGGTGGATTCGCTTGCCTCGGAGTGCATTCGATCCTATGTCATTCTTGATTTTTTGGTATTATAGATGTCGGCGTTGGTGATTTTCCTTAGTTCTGTCTTCCAAGCCTTCAACATAGATTTTCCTTGCAATAGAGAAATAGAAATTGGCCAAGCTGAATGGTATGAGAAAATTCTGGTTCTCATAGAACAAGTTACATCAGATGCCAATCTTTGACCCAGACCCTTTTAGCTTGACAACTGTTGAACAATAAAACTCTTTCCATCAACCTTTAGAAACATTAACATCGAGTTGCTGATTTCTTGATTTTGTTGCAAAACATTTTTCTTGTGCTTTATGTGCTTTCTTTAAACTACTTTCTCTACATGCAGGTGGTTTTATCTGTCTTTGATGATGTCGTGTCACTTGATGCTTTGAACCATCCAGTTTTGAACTTGATCTATTACATGGTATTCAACGATTCCATTTTACTTGTGTAGTACTATTTCTCTCAATTCCTAGTATGAATGCTTTTTTAAGCTAATATTCATATTAGCAGCTTACTTAGATTCCTTGAATATTCATATCAACATATTGAGTGTTTTGAATATAAAACTAATTAGTGATTGAAATGTTTTGAATGTGCTGCATGTTGAGGAAACTACGTAGGAATTCATATTGAGTGTATTTAATGGAAATTCATTTTTATAAATATATTGCTGCAGTGCTTCATTTTATATTGTGTGTGTAAGTGTTACAGTGCTTGAAAAACATTAGTTTGTAAGCATGAATTTATATTGTGTATGTAAGTGTTGACTCTTGAACCATATGGCATTCCTAAAGCTATAAAAGAACTTGATGAGTTATCAGAGGAGGTGCCAAAAGCAATCAAATTATACTTTTTTGCCCTTGAAGTACTTATGGATAAGAAGAGACGGGTTGTTTTCTTATTAATTCCTCCTGAAATTAGAGCTTTGTTGCTTAGGCATATGGAGGAGAGTTGTCCTTGAGATATGCAACTCCAAATTTCTCTTGATAACTGTCAGTTTTATTTAATATTTTGTTTGTCTTGAACATTAGGGAGTGGAACCTATGTTTTAATCTTTGGTTTGTGTTGGACACTATTAAGTGCAAGTGTGCAACTATGTTTACTATTTATTTTTTCTTGGACGTTGCTAAGTGTTTTCTACATAATTTGTGTCAAAATTAAATTTTAGGTTTACTGTTATTAGATAATGTTACATGATATTAAATTTGGGTAATATAGAGTAGAAAATGATATATGCGAAATCAGTTAACCATAATGGCGTTTGTAAATAAAAGCCACCAGAGTCAGGTTCTTTTGCGGCGTTTTTTAAGGAACGCCACTATGATGTACGAAATAGCGGCGTTTGTAAAGAAAACGCTACCATGTACATATTTAATAGTGGCGTTTTAAACATAAACGCCGCTAAATATCATAACATTAGCGGTGTTTGAGAAAAGGATCGACGCTAAAGACAAGGAATTAGCAGCGTTTCTAAGAAAAACGACACTATAGAGCTTGATCTTTTGTTTCGTTTTCTGTTCATAAACGCCGCTAACTGTTGTGGATCTTTTACTGGTGCCCGAAAAGATTTTAGCGGCGTTTAGAAACGCCGCTATAGAACTAAAAAAAAGCCGCTAAAAATTTGTTTTGATGCAGTGCAAGATGCTTTTTGACGTAGACTTATCCATTTATTTTAGAAGAATAAATTAGCTGACTGTATATTTTTAATGCGAAAGTGATTATATCTCATCCAAAGTTAGTCATGTGAGGGCAATAAATACGTTCTGGTGCGAGTATGAGACAAGTTCATACAAAATATCTAAGCTAGTGGACTAGACATATATAACTCATATGATACGCATGTGGCCTCAAATTATACCATGATGTCTACTTGTGTGTATGGATGAGTGTTTGAGTTTCGTGGTTCGATCCTCATCCTTAATTATTGTATTGTGGTTGTTTGAGCTATGTGACCTGAGCCTTTTTCTTGGTGATTTATTGTGATATATGTAATTATGCATTGGATAAACAATATTGTTCCTTTGACTAAAATTACCAATATATTTATGTTATGAGCGCATGTAGTATAGTACAATTATTGTATGGCATTGAGCTTATTAGTTTAGAGTTTGAAATGTATTTATGTTTGCAAGTTACGGAACAATGAGACAATGATATCATTATAAGAATCTCAACGAATTATTAGAGTATATGACGATTGAGTGGGTATGCAAAGGTTATGTTTTGAAAATGAGTCAACTTATAATATTTTAATTATGTATTTGGTTTTTAAACTAAGACTGCACTTTTGTAATTATATTTTTATACTTTGTGTAAATATTTTAAAAATTAATTATATGGTTTCAAAAGAAATTAATCATATCAATGGTATCGCATGACACTCAAATCTTTGAAATTATGGTATTTTAATATTAATTATCATCTATAAAAGAGTTATTTTCAACTAAATTAATACCTGATTAATTGTACTGTCACCTCAATCTTACCTTTAAATATGCAGAAAAGATATATTTGATCTTTTAATATTATGTAAACATAATTATCATTCTTGAAATGAAAGGTGTATAACTTATAAATTTTTTAATTTTTTTAAATTAAATTTACTAAAATTTCATGAACCAAGCTACCTTAAGGAAGAGGTCCCATGTTCGAGCACAAGGATGTTATATAAAAATTGAAGTTATATAGGTATTTTAAAAATTTGTAATTAGAAATAAGAACTGAAGTTAGATATGTATTTTATAGCGATAACTTAATTGAAGAAACGAGAAAATCATGCAAGCTTTAGGGGAAATTTTAAAAATAGAAAATTTTTTATATAAAAAATTAAGATATATATATATTCTAAAATGGTTTAGGAGCACGTGGCTAAAATTTTGTAAAAATAATGAACTTAAAATGAGAGAGAAATTGAAAGAATGAGGAAATCATGCAAAATTGAGTGACTAAAATTAAAAAATAGAAAATATGTTATCAAAAAATAAAATTGAAGATCTATAGGTATTCTAAAATATTTTAAGAGCATGCATTTTAAATTTGGTAAAAATTGACTCAAAAAGAGGAAGGAACCGAATCAATAAGGAAAATAGGGACCAAATCGCAAAAGTAACCTTCAACTAAATAAAAAAAATTAAATTCTAACCTGAATTGAACTCGAAAACCCAACTCAATAATTCGAGTTGAATCAAATAATTCGAATAAATCAACTCGAAATTGAAATAACTTCAATTTTTTTTCAGTCGAATCAAGCTTTGCTCACCCTTAGGTAGAATAGTTTCACTCATGCAGTTTGATAAATAAGATATTTGCATGATTTTCATATATAAAATCTTATGTTTTAGTATTCTAATATTTCTCCAAGTCTTTGTTTTGGCAAATATTTTTCATTCATAAAATTAGGATTTTAATCGGAGTCGAACACTTTAGAGTTTCTATCGCACTATAAGAAATCAAGAAAACAAAAATCTACTCGTACTGAATTTCTATCTTTATTTAATATTTTTGAAAATATTAAGATCAATGTATATATCATAAGTTTAGCAGGTGTAAGATTTATTTCAATTTATATATTATAAATTCAGTGGATGACATTTTACTTATAATAAAAGATAAATATATGCACCACGAGATAATGCATTTAAAAAAAATTGATATAAAATATATGATTGATACATATCTCGTCATTTACATTAAGATTTATCATAATAGACATCAAATTATCTAAGATCTATCATAAGAAACCTGTATCAACAAAGCTTTAAAAAAATTTAAATAAAATGTTGTTCCCCTAGTGTTGCTCTTATCGTGAAGAATGATAAATTTAATTTAAACTAATGCTTGAAGAATGATTTTGAGAGAGAGCAAAAAGAAGAAAAAACCCATTACATATAGTTTCTACCATTGGATGCGTGATGTATGCTCCGATCATCATAAGACCTGACATTGTATATGCATTTGAGATGTTTGGGGGATATCAAGTAATATTTTAGGCACTAAAACATTTTTCAAAGTATAGTTTAGACACTTATTTTTGTATTAAATCAAAAAAATTTAGAGATATCAAAAGAGACAAAGAATTATACGTTTATATACAAACAATCAGACCATTTGAAGGTGATTGACTACTCTAATTTAGAATTTTCTACTTGTGTTGAGTACGCAAATCATCATCATGTTACATAGTTATGTGTTATGATAGAGCTATATCATGGAGGAAAATCAAGTAAACCTTAATTTATACTTTCAATATGGATGTTGAAGTTTTTTTTTTCATATTTTGAGGCTAACTTATATGAAATATGGTTGAATTTTTTTTATTTTTTTGGCTTAGATTTAGGGATTCCGTTTCTAAACTATTAATGATGTACTGTAATAATTCAGTTGTATTTATGGATAAGAACAACAAAAGTAGAAGTTAAAGTAAACATATCGACATTATATCTTGCAATAAAAGGACGTGTTAAAAAAGAAAGTAATCATTGAGTAGATTAACACTAAGCATATTTTACTTGATCATTTGACTAAAAATGTCATCACACAAATTGAAGGGTCATTTGTTACTATGAGACTTGTTCCCACTATGTACTTCAGAGATAAAAAATAATATTCACCTGGTGAGATTTTCGATTGCTTAAATTTTTTTGATGATTTTTAATTTTTGTACAATTAAATTCGACGTGATCAAAATGTGTTTCAATGTGCTTGACGGAGGTTTGGCGTGATCGACAATGGTGAAAATCAAAATTACTCAAATTTTATTACATTGGAAAAGGTGCAACTTTCAAAGAAAATTATAATGTTAAAAAAAGTTTAACATTTTCGATTGCATATTTACTTAAATTAGATTTTGTTTCTTAGACATTACTGTTCAAGAGACTACTTCCTGTCCAAGTTCATCCTGAAGCTCATAATAGCCCAACTCCGTAAGAACTTTCTTACACTCAGGGAGAGCTTCCTTCTTCTTGAACCCGAGACTGTTTGCAAACCGAATGTCGCCGCTGACACCGTCAAGCGAGGTGATAACAACCCTGGCTTTTCTCCAGTCTTCCGTCAGATCACTACAATCCGGCCTGGGACTCTTCACCAATGTGACGTCGCAGTCTGAATCCTGGAAATCTCCTTCCACATCGATGCTGTAATCTCCGGATTGTGTCGTCGTTATTTCCGGGCTCTGAAAGGTAAGGGCTCCGTCGGTGCGGTTCCTGCATTCCAATTTCACTACCGCACCACTTATAGGTTGACTGATCTTGGTCTCAAATTCAACACGGCAAGTGTCGCAGTATACATGACCTACGACTTTGAACTTGTTTGATTCAGCTGCACCTGTCGCATAGGCAAAATTGAAGGACGACGATGTGTAAATTGCCAAGGAAACAAGAGCGATCACACAAGCTTTTGCCATTTTTTTCTAGGTTATTAAAGCTTGTAAAAGAGGGTAAATTTATAGGGAGAGATTCACTTTATTTTGGTCAATGGTTGTTATTCAATTTTTATATTTTTAAGGGTTTGTTGAGGGAGAGCATGACTCGTGCTTCATTCTCATTTTTCAATTCTTTGAACCGTAAAACAATTCATTGTCAATAAAGGAAATTAGTTAAAACCAATATGAATCTATGAAATATTAAGATAATTAAATAACAAAATGACATTTGTTGGTCCTTTAAATAATATTTTTGATCACTTGAGCCTAGATGAATTATAGAGTACCCTGATTTTCCCCAGAAGATTCAACTTTCATAAATTTAGCGATTCAATCTTTGTGTTTTAAGTATTTATAATATGACCCCAAATGTTTTCATTTTCTTTCTCATCAACGTTCTAAATTCCTCATGATTTGAATTTACTTGCAATAAAATTTGTCTAATTTTGATTGTAATGATTCATGAATACTCAATGTTGGATGTTAGAAGTCCAAAATAATTTTGGTTCATGCACGTGATATCTCTAACTCGTGTCCTACTTCTAAATTTAAGAAGAGATGTTATATTCAGCAATAAAGCTAGAGTTCAGTAGATTATAGGACTAAAATGATATAATTATGAGTCAAGATAAAAGTACATGTCATATAGGTCGTATTTGCTACAGGTTGTGCTTGTGACTCTGATGCAACTCTTTCCCAACCTTTTCTAGTAAAAAAATATAAAATTATCTGAATTTTGACAGTACATTAATGCGAAGGATTAAATTGTTTTGCGCCTTTTCATTGATCGACGTCGACACCAACTTTAATGTTAGTTGTCGATCATTGATATTATTTATTATGCTTTTATTTTATTATATTACATCTTTATTTTCTTTTGTTTTTTAATTTTTAATAAGTCTGTTTGTATGACACGTTTTCACACTACAACAAAATTGTTCTGTAGCGGCGTTTGTTGATAAAACGCCACAAAAGTATTACATATAGCAGCGTTTTCAATCCAAACGCCACAAATTGAGACTTTAGCGGCGTTTTTTGTGAAAACGCTGCAATAGAGTATAAATATAGCGGCGTTTTTATTAAAAACGCCGCCATAGGATGGTATATAGTGGCGTTTTTTCAACAAACGCCGCAATTAATAATAGTTTTTGCGTCGTTTTTAGACAAACGCCACAGAAAGGTTAAACAATAGCGGCATTTATAGTAAAAACGCCGCAACATAGTAGACATGTAGCGGCGTTTTAGCTACGCCGCAATATAGTGTTAATTTAGCGGCGTTTTTTGTATAAACGCCGTAAAAAACATGTGATACAGTGGCATTTGTTAAAAACGCCACAAAATGTTAAATATATTGTCCTCCCTTTTCTCCCACCCAAACCCTAAAATCATTTCAACTCTTCTTCCCTCATAGTTTCTTCTCTGGTACAACAACGACCCTCACACGATTCCAAGCGACGTCGTCTTTTGTCTATCCCGGCGACCAAATCGGCCCTCTCACCGACGAACTATAACACAATTCCACGGTTTGATCACTCTTATCACTAATGATCTTTTTCAATTTTGTTTTGGTTGGTATTCTGAAAATGGGGAAAACCCAGAAAGCTAACATATTTGAGAAAAAAAGAACAGGTCTTGCCTGAGTAAGAGAAATTATCGTCGGAATGTACGTGCGTCTTTGCTCTGACGATGGATCAAATTATCGCTGGGAGGCTATCGGTCCGATTTCACCGTCGAAACTCGATGATGACTCGACAGGAACTCATATTGCTCCATACCCTTCCATGGCCGATCTCCTACTTGAAGGTAAAATTCTATGAATCTTTATGCCGCTATATTTCCCTTTTTGTACGGTCACTCAAATTTCATAGATCGTACGCATGTAGGACCTTCGAAGCTTATTGAGAATGATGATAGAGAAATGGATAAATACCCTATGTTTAGAAACGAATTTGGTAACTCTGTGGCGTGAAAGAATCTTCAATTGCAAAAGCAGTATCGATCCTCATGAAGACGATGTTGCCTCTACTGTTACTCCAAGTAAACATTTATCATCTATTTAAATATATTTTAATGTTTGATTCAATTCCCAAGCACCTCCATCAAGTTTTATATTGTAGGTGGAGGTCATTATTTCAAGTGAAGCACTGAAGCGCGCAATGAGTCTTCTTGGTGAACCGGAAGTAGGAGATTTATTTGGTGAAATGGATGAAGAGTTTCTCCATATAGAATTTACACGGAGGAAAAACTTAACGATGCGTCGTCAAACAAGGAAAACAACTTTCCTACGTCCTTTTCTCACGAAGGGCAATGAAGACTAAATTGTACTGAACAATATGGTGAAGACTGTTTATGGTACTTTAATGTTTCTAAATTATAATGTATGTTGAAGACTGTTTATGCATAAGTACTTTAATGTTTCTAAATTATAATGTATGGTGAATACTGTTTATGCATAAGTACTTTAATGTTTCTAAATTATAATGTTTGTTGTTAAGTAGTTTTATGCATAAGTACTTCTGTCTTAATTAAAATGTATGGTTGTAACTTTAGGTTATGTATAGAAGAAATGAATATTTAAATATGTTAATCTTATATAATAAGGTATTTAGCGGTGTTTGTATCCAAAATGCCGCTATATTACACATTTTGCGGCGTTTTTAGATATAAACGCCGCTAATGAGTAGTATAATAGCGGCGGTTTTTTACAAACGCCGCAATAGGTGTATTATATAGTCGCGTTCTTATAACAAACGCCGTAAAATATTTGTATTTTATTGGCGTTTTTAAATAAAAGCGCCAATAAAATTGTTTATTAATGGCGTTTATAACAATCGCCGCAATAGGTGTACTATATAGAGGCGTTTTTAACCAAACGCCGTAATATATTTGAATTGTTACGGCGTTTCTAGACACAAACACCGCAATATATATGGACATTAGCTGCGTTTATTAAAAAAAGCCCCAATAGAGTATAACTCTAGCTGCGTTTGTATTACAAACGCCGCAATTGTTACTTAAATCCTGCGCGAGCATTTCCCCCCTTCAAATCTCATTCTAAACCTAATTTCATCGAAAACAAATACTCCCCGTTGCCATTCGAATCCGTCACCACCTACATCGTCGCTGGCCGGTACTCAACTGCTTCTGCTCGTCGTTGCTTGAAGGGTCATTTCCTGCTGATGCTCGTCATATTCAACCTCAACTCTGTCGCTTGAACCGTTGCTGCCCTGGAAAATTTTAACTCTGTCGAAACTCTACTGTTCCAACTTATGATTTTCATCGCTGTAAATTTTTGTCGAATCTATTTCAGTCAAATTTCTTGCTTCCTTGATATAATTCCACTAACCTTGCAATTTCTTCTATTGCCTCCTCTTCGTCTCCCCTAATTTCAATGCCGAGCTCTTTACCTAGAAGGAGTGCCTTCTTTGCCTCTTTTGTGTAGCTCTTCCACCTCGCCTGCATATTAGAATCTGAAAGTGATCGTCCCTCTAGTTCTGGGGAGTCCGATATCTTCTTCTTTTTCTTCTGTCTTCTCTGAGCCCTGTCTCTTTTCTTCTGTTCTTATCTTGGATTTTCTGAATCGAGCCATATTTTTTTCCCTAATCAGTTTCGGGCTATTTGCTAATTCAGGGAGAAATATTATTCCAATTGCTCCCTTACTGCTCCTGATATTATTTATTACCTTATTATAATTATCTAATAATTCATCTCTGTGCATACTTTAACATCGTAAGTATCTCACAATTGATAAAGTTTAGAACTCTTTATCCTCGTATGAGAAGCACCTTATAGATGAATTTGACATTGTAGGAAAGGGTCTCATTATTTATAGAAGAACTCAAGAAAAAGATTTTGATAATGATGCCAAGACAAGGTGAAAATCTAGGAACGCATAAAAAACATATTATTGTAAAAAAAGAAGAAGGGGGCATTTAAAGGTCAAATGTTATAAGTTACGGATTTTTTGTTTCTTTATCAAATGGAATTCCACTCAAGTGTTTTCTTGTTCTAATCGCCATATTTTTTTTCTTCGCAGGGACCTCCACTTCTTTTGCGCTATTCAGACTCCATATGGTAAGTAAGAATACCCACCTTTTCCAATGTGTTCTTCCATGGGAATTTCAAAGACAAAGAGTAGTTTCACATGATGGTTTCTTGTTCTGAATGAAGCTATAGTTACATTTTCTTTTCTGGATATCGTAATATTTGTTTTTTTTTCGTTCATGAAGTGCTTGTATAAATGCATGCATGTGTTGTGTCATTTGATGGTTTTGAGTTATTGGAAAAAGAGAAGATGTTCATTTTTCTCCACTGTTCAGCTGAATAACTTGTTTTTGTTGAAAAATGATAGCAAAATGTTGGTTTTACTAATACTGAGCAAAATGTTGGTTTTACTCGTTTACAATAGTCTGCCATCGTTAACTTTGCTGCTTGTTTTTGCTCATGATCAGCTATTGAAAGATATTATTGAGGGGTTTTAGATTTAATTGTTCTAAGAAGGAAGATTCAAAAGTTATACACTATGTGTAAATCAAAAATAGGTAGCTTAATCATCATAGAGAGAATCATTCAGTTCATATACACTTGAACAAATTTAATTTTAAAATGGCATTGTTTGAAGTGTCCGGTATAGGCATTTTGACATACAAATTTCATTCAGTTCATTTGCATATATATTGACATAACTCAGTAAATAGCTATGCTATCCAACTCGTCATTTTTTCATAAAGTACATCTATCGATCACCTATGTTCCACACATACTAATTCATGGCTATAAGTGTAAAAGAAATTAACTTTTTTTTTAAAATTATTTTCTTGAACACAATTTGAAGATAACCTTTTAAGTTTGTCCTTTATCGTTGACTTTTCGTTGGAAAATTGATCTGGCTTAGGTGCTATTGTTTCAAGTTAATAAACCTGTTTAGAGCTTATTAAAAATTTTAATATATGTTTTTATCGAATAGCTTGGAGAAGGTAGGGTCTTGGT